GAGCTCGGACTCGACCCCCGCAACCTCAACTAGGTGAGAACTAGGTGAGTACACACACACACACACACACACACACACACACACACACACACACACACACACACACACGAGCACAAGTAGCGATGGATCACCACAAGACTGGCCACAGCCCCGGAAGTTGTAATCTAATTCACGTCTGCATAATTCATTACGATTGTAAAGAATAAAGGCACAATACCGTGACTGGAACAATACACAAATAACCCGCACATATGATAGAGGAGCTTACGACGACGTTTCGGTCCGATTTAGATCATTTACGAAGTCACAAATACGATTGTAACCAGATATATGTAAAAAGTTCATTACCACTTTTTGCAGACATCAGAATGTTGAGGTACAGTCCCTGGACCCATTATGTACCTCTAATGTTGAGGTACAGTCCCTGGACCCATTATGTACCTCTGTAATGTTGAGGTACAGTCCCTGAACCCATTGTGTACCTCTGTAATGTTGAGGTACAGTCCCTGGAGCCATTATTTACCTCTGTAATGTTGAGGTACAGTCCCTGGAGCCATTATTTACCTCTGTAATGTTGAGGTACAGTCCCTGGACCCATTATGTGCCTCTGTAATGTTGAGGTACAGTCCCTGGACCCATTATGTGCCTCTAATGTTGAGGTACAGTCCCTGGACCCATTATGTGCCTCTGTAATGTTGAGGTACAGTCCCTGGACCCATTATGTACCTCTGTAATGTTGAGGTACAGTTCCTGGACCCATTATGTACCTCTGTAATGTTGAGGTACAGTCCCTGGACCCATTATGTGCCTCTGTAATGTTGAGGTACAGTCCCTGGACCCATTATGTACCTCTGTAATGTTGAGGTACAGTCCCTGGACCCATTATGTACCTCTGTAATGTTGAGGTACAGTCCCTGGACCCATTATGTACCTCTGTAATGTTGAGGTACAGTCCCTGGAGCCATTATGTACCTCTGTAATGTTGAGGTACAGTCCCTGGACCATTATGTACCTCTGTAATGTTGATGTACAGTCCCTGGACCCATTATGTACCTCTGTAATGTTGAGGTACAGTCCCTGGACCCATTATGTGCCTCTGTAATGTTCAGGTACAGTCCCTGGAGCCGTTATGTACCTCTAATGTTGAGGTACAGTCCCTGGACCCATTATGTACCTCTGTAATGTTGATGTACAGTCCCTGGACCCATTATGTACCTCTGTAATGTTGAGGTACAGTCCCTGGACCCATTATGTACCTCTATAATGTTGAGGTACAGTCCCTGGAGCCATTATGTACCTCTGTAATGTTGAGGTACAGTCCCTGGAGCCATTATGTACCTCTGTAATGTTGAGGTACAGTCCCTGGAGCCATTATGTACCTCTGTAATGTTGAGGTACAGTCCCTGGAGCCATTATGTACCTCTGTAATGCTGAGGTACAGTCCCTGGACCTATTATGTACCTCTGTAATCTTCCAACTACCGCACACAGGATGGGTATAGGCTGCATAATTAAGATGTTAAATTGACGTTAGACAGCAAATATCACAGGAAAACTAACTGCCATGAAGTATATAAGTAAAGATATGTGTACACAGAATGTAAGCAGAAGTTTGATATCTATCTGTCATTAATGTAGCCGTAAAGTGTATATGAATGGTATATAATACCGACAAGATGAAGAATTAGACACATGTACAACATCTGGGTTACCTGGAGTTTACCTGGAGAGAGTTTCGGGGGTCAACGCCCCCGCGGCCCGGTCTGTGACCAGGCCTCCTGGTGGATCAGCGCCTGATCAACCAGGCTGTTGCTGCTGGTTGCACGCAAACCAACGTACGAGCCACAGCCCGGCTGATCAGGAACTGACTTTAGGTGCTTGTCCAGTGCCAGCTTGAAGACTGCCAGGGGTCTGTTGGTAATCCCCCTTATGTGTGCTGGGAGGCAGTTGAACAGTCTCGGGCCCCTGACACTTATTGTATGGTCTCTTAACGTGCTAGTGACACCCCTGCTTTTCATTGGGGGGATGGTGCATCGTCTGCCAAGTCTTTTGCTTTCGTAGTGAGTGATTTTCGTGTGCAAGTTCGGTACTAGTCCCTCTAGGATTTTCCAGGTGTATATAATCATGTATCTCTCCCTCCTGCGTTCCAGGGAATACAGGTTTAGAAACCTCAAGCGCTCCCAGTAATTGAGGTGTTTTATCTCTGTTATGCGCGCCGTGAAGGTTCTCTGTACATTTTCTAGGTCGGTTATTGTAGACGTTTCGCCCACCAGTGGCTTTATCACTACAAATCCAAGGACACAATGTGAAAACAGTCCCTCAGCAACGGTGTTGACGATCACCGTTGCACGTGTTTAATTCATCATTAACATAGCTTTACGACAGAGAAGATAAACAACCGTGACAAACACATGAAGGGAGGGTAGCAACGCCCTCTCTGCACAGTTGTCTAACATCCAACTATTAACACTGCAATTAGTCGCATCAGGTGACTTGTGACGTCAACTAAAGATGAATGCAAGGATTTATTATCAACAGAATTTGTTGCAATACCTCGCACCTGGAGGTGATTTAATTCCAGCAATGTGGATGTTGCAATGACTTCTATTGGAGATTTAATATATCCAGGAAGGTCAGAGGTGAGGCAGACACTACCTGCAAGGTATACAAGGTATACAAGGTATACAAGGTATACAGGTATACAAGGTATACAAGGTATACAAGGTATACAAGGTATACAGGTATACAAGGTATACAGGTATACAAGGTATACAGACCATAGCTGACATCAATGACATACTGTATAAAAAGCCCCTAGTTATGTATAGCATTTCGGACAAATTCAGTCAGTTTTGTCCCAGGATGTGACCCACACCAGTCCACTAACACCCAGGATGTGACCCACACCAGTCCACTAACACCCAGGATGTGACCCACACCAGTCCACTAACACCCAGGATGTGACCCACACCAGTCCACTAACACCCAGGATGTGACCCACACCAGTCCACTAACACCCAGGATGTGACCCCACCAGTCCACTAACACCCAGGATGTGACCCACACCAGTCCACTAACACCCAGGATGTGACCCACACCAGTCCACTAACCCCCAGGATGTGACCCACACCAGTCCACTAACACCCAGGATGTGACCCACACCAGTCCACTAACACCCAGGATGTGACCCACACCAGTCCACTAACACCAGGATGTGACCCACACCAGTCCACTAAACACCCAGGATGTGACCCACACCAGTCACTAAACACCAGGATGTGACCCACACCAGTCCACTAACACCCAGGATGTGACCCACACCAGTCCACTAACACCCAGGTACCTATTTTACTGCTAGGTGAACATGGACAGCAGGTGTCTTAAGGAAACACGTCCTAGTGTTTCCACCCGTACCGGGGATCGAACTACGGACCTCAGTGCGTGAGATGAGTGCGCTACCACTCGAGCTACGGGTTAACTGTGAGTGTTTATCAATCTTCTTATATGACAGCAAATAAAAGGATGTGTTTAAATTATTTTAAATGTTTTTGTTTGTATGATGAGAGGCAGTTGTCATGGCAACAAGGTGGGCAGTGTTGTGTATACACAGAACAGCTGATCCATGCAGCCGTCAGCTGTTTTGTGTGTGTGTGTGTGTGTGTGTGTGTGTGTGTGTGTGTACTCGCCTATTTGTGGTTGCAGGGGTCGATTCATAGCTCCTGGCCCCGCCTGTTCGCTGATTGCTACTAGGTCCCCTCTCTTCCTGCTGCCCCATGAGCTTTATCATACCTCGCCTTAAAACTATGTATGGTTCACTATGTATGGCGTGAGAGAGAGAGAGAGAGAGAGAGAGAGAGAGAGAGAGAGAGAGAGAGAGAGAGAGAGAGAGAGAGAGAGAGAGAGAGAGAGAGAGAGAGAGAGAGAGAGAGAGAGAACAGAGAATTACTAGGTCTTCCTATTAATTCTTTTCCTGGAGTCCTCCTAAGAACAACTATCCTCTGGCTTCCCTACCACCACTACCACCACCCTAATTACCCCTACCACAACCACCATCACTAGCACAATCACCACTACCATAATCATCACTACCACAACCACCATCACTACCACAATCACATCACTACCACAATCACCATCACTACCACAATCACCATACCATAATCACCATCATTACCACAATCTCACTACCATAATCACTTCCACAATTTCACAAAGGAAAATTGTTACAAACTGTTTTGTGACTTATTAAGTCTTCCGGCTGACTTGTTCTGTGTGCACGTGCGCGCGCAACCACAACACACACACACACACCACACACACACACAGAGGAGCGTGACTCGACTCCTGCAACTACAACTAGTGAGACACCAGACTGGTATGGGCTCTGGATTAAGGCTCCCGTTCCTGAGCTTAGGGTTTACGCACACTCCAAGTCCATGGGATAGAAGCTCCTCAGTTGAAAACCCTTCTAGACGACCATGATGACGGCATCTCTTAACGTTGTGGTATTTGGAAGTGAAGGAAGTGAAGGAAGTGAAGGAAGGCAGTGAGGAAGGGAAGGTGAAAGAAGGAAGGAAGTAAAGGCAGCGAGAAGTGAAGGAAGGTGAATGAAGGAAGTGAAGGAAGTGAAGGAAGGAAGTGAAGGAAGGAAAGTGAGGAAGGAAGTGAAGGAAGCAGTGAGGAAGGAAGTGAAGGAAGTGAAGGAAGGAGTGAAGGAAGGAAGTGAAGGAAGGCAGTGAGGAAGGAAGTGACGGAAGGCAGTGAGGAAGGAAGTGAAGGAAGGCAGTGAGGAAGGAAGTGAATGAAGGAAGTGAAGGAAGGAAGTGAAGGAAGGCAGTGAGGAAGGAGTGAAGGAAGGAAGGTGGGAAGGAAGGAAGGTGGAAGAAGGAGGAAAGGAAGGGACGAAGGAAGGGACGAAGGAAGTGAAGGAAGGAAGGTGCGAAGGAAGGTGCGAAGGAAGGAAGGAAGGAAGGAAGGAAGGCAGTGTTGCCAGTTACTCACCTTCCAGCCAAGGTTCTCAAAGAAGGTACAAAGTCTCGACTGTCCAGTAGTTTTACCACCACAGGGCCCTGCAACACAAAGTACGGTGTTACTACAACACTACTGAACCACCACACGGCCCTGCAACACAAAGTACGGTGTTACTGCAACACTACTGAACCACCACACGGCCCTGCTACACAAAGTACGGTGTTACTGCAACACTACTGAACCACCACACGGCCCTGCAACACAAAAGTACGGTGTTACTGCAACACTACTGAACACCACACGGCCCTGCAACACAAAGTACGGTGTTACTGCAACACTACTGAACCACCACACGGCCCTGCAACACAAAGTACGGTGTTACTGCAACACTACTGAACCACCACACGGCCCTGCAACACAAAGTACGGTGTTACTGCAACACTACTGAACCACCACACGGCCCTGCTACACAAAGTACGGTGTTACTGCAACACTACTGAACCACACACGGCCCTGCAACACAAAGTACGGTGTTACTGCAACACTACTGAACCACCACACGGCCCTGCTACACAAAGTCGGTGTTACTGCAACATACTGAACCACCACACGGCATGCTACACAAAGTACGGTGTTACTGCAACACTACTGAACACCACACGGCCTGCAACACAAAGTACGGTGTTACTGCAACACTACTGAACCACACACGGCCCTGCTACACAAAGTACGGTGTTACTGCAACACTACTGAACCACCACACGGCCCTGCAACACAAAGTACGGTGTTACTGCAACACTACTGAACCACCACACGGCCCTGCAACACAAAGTACGGTGTTACTGCAACACTACTGAACCACACACGGCCCTGCAACACAAAGTACGGTGTTAGCAACACTACTAAACACCACACGGCCCTGCAACACAAAGTACGGTGTTACTGCAACACTACTGAACCACCACACGGCCCTGCAACACAAAGTACGGTGTTAGCAACAACTGAACCACACACGGCCCTGCAACACAAAGTACGGTGTTACTGCAACACTACTGAACCACCCACACGGCCTGCAACACAAAGTACGGTTGTTAGCAACACTACTGAACCACCACACGGCCCTGCAACACAAAGTACGGTGTTAGCAACACTACTGAACCACCCACACGGCCCTGCAACACAAAGTACGGTGTTCAGCAACACTACTAAACCCAACACGGCCCTGCACACAAATGTACGGTGTTAGCAACACTACTGAACCACCACACGGCCCTGCAACACAAAGTACGGTGTTAGCAACACTACTGAACCACCACACGGCCTGCAACACAAAGTACGGTGTTAGCAACACTACTGAACCACCACACGGCCCTGCAACACAAGTACGGTGTTAGCAACACTACTGAACCACACACGGCCCTGCAACACAAAGTACGGTGTTAGCAACACTACTGAACCACCAACGGCCCCTGCAACACAAAGTACGGTTTTTAAACTGCAACACTACTGAACCACCACACGGCCTGCAACACAAAGTACGGTGTTAGCAACACTACTGAACCACCACACGGCCCTGCAAACACAAAGTACGGTGTTACTGCAAACACTACTGAACCACCACACGGCCCTGCAACAAAAGTACGGTGTTATGCAACACTACTGAACCACCACACGGCCCTGCAACACAAAGTACGGTGTTAGCAAATACTGAACCACCACACGGCCCTGCAACACAAAGTACGGTGTTAGCAACATACTGAACCACCACACGGCCTGCAACACAAAGTACGGTGTTAGCAACATACTGAACCACCACACGGCCCTGCAACACAAAGTACGGTGTTACGCAACATACGAACCACCACACGGCCCTGCAACACAAAGTACGGTGATAGCAACACTATGAACCACCACACGGCCCTGCAACACAAAGTACGGTGTTACTGCAACACTACTGAACCACCACACGGCCCTGCAACACAAAGTACGGTGTTAGCAACACTGAACCACCACACGGCCCTGCAACACAAAGTACGGTGTTACTGCAACACTACTGACCACCACAGGCCTGCAACACAACACCGTACGGTTTAGCACATATGACCACCACACGGCCCTGCAACACAAAGTACGGTGTTAGCAACACTACTGAACCACCACACGGCCCTGCAACACAAAGTACGGTGTTACTGCAACACTACTGAACCACCACACGGCCCTGCAACACAAAGTACGGTGTTAGCAACACTACTGAACCACCACCACGGCCCTGCAACACAAAGTACGGTGTTAGCAACACTACTAAACCACACACGGCCCTGCAACACAAAGTACGGTGTTAGCAACACTACTGAACCACCACACGGCCCTGCAACACAAAGTACGGTGTTAGCAACACTACTGAACCACCACACGGCCCTGCAACACAAAGTACGGTGTTAGCAACACTACTGAACACCAACACGGCCCTGCAACACAAAGTACGGTGTTAGCAACACTACTGAACCACCACACGGCCCTGCAACACAAA